ACATTTACCACAAATTAAAGTTATCTTATATTATTAGATATATTATTATAAAATATGCTTTGGTTAAGGAGTTATTGATACTTCAAGTGCAAAATGATGATATAAAACCATGATAAAAATGCACTTTTAAGTACTAATCAGCATGCAGTTAGAATAAATAAGCTTTGCTTCCTCATATGGTTTCTTATTATTCATATAGTTAAAACTTAGCTTCAGAGTTATCTCATGGTGTTTACGTTGTCTTTCAAGTTTTTTATAGGTGTTAGATATCACTTGAATTTTTACAACTTGTTTATTAGAACAAACACCAATTTGATTTTTGTTTTTGTATTAGAACTTTGATTTTCTAAAAATCCTAGTGAAAACATGGAGTCATATTTGTTTTTTGGGAAAGAAAAAGAAAAAAAAGGACAAACACTAAAGAATTCTTGATGTAGTGGTTTTTTGAGTTCAAAGGTGTCTTTAGTATGTTACTTGTATGAAGGTACATCATGAACATAGAAAAATATGTGATTTTATTAAGAGGAAAGGTTCATTTGACAGAAAAAGTCTTATGGCATTATAAGCTAAATTCCCAACAAAACTAAAACAGGTTGAAACAGATATGATCAAACAAAAGAAAATAATTAAGTAGGCTCCATCTTCCTCTTCTATACCAAAACTTTGTCCTTTATCCTTAAAAGTGCACACTTACTTCTTCATACCTTGCTCTTTTACTTCTTCATACCTTGCTCTTTCCATCGGTGCTTTGAGGTTTTCAGAGCATTCCACCTTCAATGTATTCATCAATCCAATACCTAGAGCATGATGGGGGGAGGATTCAAACTCATGTTTGGAGTTCCTTCGAAGGTTATCAATCCACCTTTAATCAAAAGCATGAGTTTCTTTGTAAAGGTACTGGCATAGTACTCGCAAGTGAGGTCAGACTTGTGTCAGTTGGAGTAAGGTAGTTATAGAGGTGTCAAGGGTTCTAGAACTATATATTCAATGCTTAGTAGCTTTTGGTACATCTTACTTTTGACATGTTAGCCAAATCCTAATGGATAACTATAAACTGGTTATGATATCCATTTTTGAATTTAAAAAAAACATGAAAAAGATTTAATTTTTGTTTTTTTTATAAAACAATGCTTGGAAAAATTTCAGGATTTGGTCGTATGCAACAAAATATATTTTTTTCTTTTTTGAAATTCGAGATTGATTTAAATGTTTTTTGAGATTTTTTTTAAATGTTTTGAATTTTTTAATAATTTCAAAGAAAATCAGGTATTTTAATATCAGATTTCTATTTTATAGTATAAGTATATAACCCGATATTGTACAAAATTAGTAGAAAAATATGCAAGAAAATCATAATTTTTTTGAATGATTTCTTTAATATACGATATTATTTCTTGTCTCGGATTTCTTCAATTTAATCCTTAATTGACTGCTAAGCTTCAATTTTCTTGCAATTTGGCACTTAATTTCAATCAATTAACTTGGTAAAAATTAAACTTGGTCTCTTAAAATTCCAATATTCTCAATTAAGCTAAAATTATGCCCTCAAACTTAATTTTTCACCAATTAAGCTCTAAATAAAATTAATTTGATCCATTTAAAGTATAATTAAGTCCTTGCGCGTAATTAAATCCTTCAATTGCACATAAATTAATTCTTAAACATAATTAAAATCTAATTTGACCCGTGATTAAATCAAATTAGCCTATTAAAAATTTAATTATATCATTGGACTTAATTTTTATGTAAATTCATCCAATAATCATTCAATTTGACCTTGAATTTGCATTTGTTTTTTTTGTTTTTCATTTTGGGCATAATAGAGTACAATTAGGCCTTGAACTTCCTCTGAAAATTACAGCTTGAGTCCCCGGCTTGCATTCTTCATGTTGCCAACCTTTATTTTATTTTTAAAATTTTTTATTTTGAAATAAAATAATTTTAGGAGAATAACTTAAAATTAAATTTTGACAATTATTTAGCTGACCTAACAAATATTATGGTAGTTAGCCGCTGTGAAAATCATTAAGAATTAAAATAGGAGGACAGTGCCTGACTGGTTTTTAACTTTTTAGAGGTAATCTAACCATTTATGAATGCTTATCCAAAGAATGTCTAGTACGATAGATTCTTTAATGATCATATATTTGAGCAGACGTTGAGAATGGGAAAATATACAATAACTAATTATTAGAGATGTAAGTTCGCTTAGCTCATCGAGCTAAAATGAGTATTGGGTGACCGTGCCATAATTAATATGTTCTTTAGATATTGATTCTTTACCTTTAATTAAATCATGTATTAATTATTAATTTTTTAATGAATTTGATGCAGATCCAATCTCACTTTGAATTTATCACACTAAAGTATGACTAAGAAATTTTTATGAGTCATTTTAAAGGGTAATTTAACTTGTCTCTATAATACCAAGAACCTCCAAAAAATGCTACTAGAGCTGGTCTCTATAAATTTGTGTGTACTAGTTCTAACTTTTTGGTTTTAAGGTCCTACCAACCTTTAAAAAACTGAACTTCTTCTGTTTTTCAAGAACACAACTTTCACAAATATCTAGATCAACATTTTTTAATTTTGGTAGCTTTTTCTTTGAGTGAAGTATTTTCATCCCCTTTTGACTCATATGGCAGAGTCTACAGTGCCATAACTGTACCTTATTTTGTGCTTCAGTAGAGGCAATAATGTCTACAGATCTTGTGGTCATATACAAGGTGCTGGTTTTCTTTCTATAAGCCAAAATCATTGCTCCCTTTGATACCTTCCATATAGCTAAAAAAAAAAAGGATTGAATGACCATTATCATCAAGTTGTCTGACTAAGATCAACTTCTTCTTTAGTCCAAAAACATGCCTTATATTTTGCAAGTTCCATATAGATTTATTCATTATCTTGATTTGCATATCTCCTATACCTACAATATGCATTAATTCTCCATCAGGTAGATAGACTACATAGTTTTGCATCATTTCATGGTGTGGTTTATAGTGGAATGAAACACCAAAATCAAGGATCCAATCATCAATTGAACTTTATATAGCAAGAATCAAAGTATCTTGTACCTCATCTGTAGTAGCTGTTGCAGAGTCAGCTTCAGGTTTTTTTGGTTTTATGCAATTTCTCATGAAATGACTTTGCCATAATTCCAACATTCAACCTGCTTTTTTGTGTCCGGATTTGCTTTTACTTTTGTACCTTGATTTTGATCTGTTTCTGGATAAGCCTCTATCATGTCTCCTTGACACGACTAAAAGATTGATGTCTTCTCCTAAGTATAGGAGTGTCAAAGTAATAAATAACCTGGCAAGATCGGGCTCGAACCATAGGGAGGTTAATTATACAAATTATAAATAACAATAATACAACAACAATAATAATAATAACAACAACAATAATAATTGTAATAATAATAATAGTAGCAATAATAGTAATAGTAATAGTAATAGTAATAATAATAAAGAAAAAGAAGTAGGAGAAGAAGAAGAAGATAACAAATTTGAGATGGAATCTTAATGTAATGATTAAACAATGATAATAACAAATGTCAA